GTGGATGTAATAAATTATTCAAACTTATGCAGTCATGGTTTTGTTAGTCCAGAATTAGGATGGAATTTATCTAGGTGCTTTTCTCTTCCCTATCAGGTTGACTGGAATAAATCACTTGACAGTATTCACCTTGTAGTCGCACTGGTCTGGAAGGACCAAGAAAGCTTTGCCAAAGTATTTGGCACCTTGTTGCTCCGACACATGGCATCTATCTCTATATAGCTAGGTTAGGCTTCTTCACATGCATACTGGGACTTGTCAACTTGATGATCTTGCAAAGTCTTTGACTCCCATCATACAAAACAGCCCAAGCTAACCTTCTGATGGTGAGAAGCATGGGACTCAGGGAAATTCACTTCTAATCCATTCAAAGCTTATTTTTTTCTATTGGTTATTTTTTTGCCAATATCCTCAAAATCAAAAAGTTCTAACTACCTCCTTAGTATCTTAAAATTCTAAAGTATTTGTCTTGGCTTATCCTTAAGAAGAAAGGTAAAAGCCATATCTCATGTTGTTTATATTCATTTTTTTACAGAGTTTGGTTACCAAGGTGACTATTCCCATAAGAAATCTTAATATGAAATATATGGAATAATATTGCTTTCATCTAAAAATTACTTCTATGAGAGAGTGAGAATATTTTCTTTAGAAAGGAAAAAGTTTTCATGTTTATAACTATTCCTTATTAAAGTGTACTTTAAATAAAATAAGAAATTTTAAAGCACAATAACCCGTAAAATTTCTTCAAACTTCATTTTCAAATATTTTGTTATTAACTTTATAGCATCATATTCTAGAGATGTCTCACTTACAGTATTGCATAACTTATGCTCCAGTAGAAAATAATTAATTGTGAAGACGCTATTGCGAAGCTAATTCAGAACACTTATAGATTCCTATATAAATCTATTTTTGAAAAGGTTTTAAAGATAGGCTTTTTAATATATTTTCTGAAACATAATATCCAACTACTGTGACTTCTTGACAAGTTACTCAAATTTTAATTATATAAAACAATCATCATTATGCTTTTTAATTCTATGGGCCAGAAATTTTGACAATGAACAGTGGAGATGCCTTGCTTCTTCTCACAGTATTGGAGGTGTAAGCTAGAAAGCAAGATGTTGAGGACTGTAATCATCATAAAGCTGGTAGTTGACAGCAGCTATTGGCTGAAAACTTACCTAGGACTGTTGGCCAGACCATCAGAAAGATATGTAGACAAACAAATAATCTGATAGGTGAGAAATGGTATCTTAGTGAAGTTTTAATCCCAATTTCTTTCATTATATGCAAGGTTGATTATTTTTATGTTTAAGGATAATTTTTTACTTATTACTTATAACTCACTTTTTTTTCTTTTAGAACCTATTAATATCTTGCTTGTCTTACTTTTAAAATCTCTTTATACTGGAGTTATATGTTAACTCTTTATTAGTGATATCATTTGAAAATATGTTTTCTTATTTTACCATCTGTCCATCCATGAAAAATACTTTTATTTTTATGTTATCAATTACCATTTACTTCCCTTACATTCTCTGAAATTTTAATCATAGACAATTTTTTTCTTCACTTACAAGAAAGCAACAACTCATATTTTCTTCCTGTTATATGTATTACAAAGCTTTTGCTATGTAACAAAGCACCCAACATTGAGTGGTTTAACATGGGTTGGTAATTTTTTTTTTTTTCTGAAAAGGGCCAGAATATAAGTATTGAAAGTTTTGTAAGCTATATGGTCCCTATTTTGACTGCTCATCTCTGTCATATTTTGCTGACTCCTGCTCTCTTCCAACACCTTGATTTTGCAGATAGGGAATGTGGCATTATGCACATGCTTATTACAGCTATTTGCTTCTTAGATGAAAGGAGACAGGAGGCTGAGCCATGAGCAATGGAAAACACTGGAAGAGAGGATCATGCTCAGAGAACAGAATAGTAGTACAATAAACTAAACTCATCCTTGATGATACAGAGGTCAATTAACTGTGAAGTCACTTCTAGGAATAAAATCTGAGTCCCTCTCTAAATAAGAAAATACTATTCTTCAATAATGCATAAAGTAGAATAACAAAATTTTAATAGTTTAATATTATAGAATTTAAACTGCTTATTTTAAATGAACTTATATTAGGTAATATATTAGGAAAATAAAGGAAACTTATTGTTCTTACTGAGCCTGAATAGAATAGGTTTACTGATTTTAAATTGGTCATATTAAAATTGAAAGTATTATGAATCTAATGTTTAAAACATTTTGCATAAAGCAAGCTTACACTAAATATGTAAAACTGACAATGAAAGGCAAAAAAGCCATGTATTATTTTTGAAGTAAAACATAAATAAATGTAAACATAAAATTTGATAAGATATTTAAGAAACAAGAAGTGTGTTAGCAATATATTAGAATGAATAATTTTATAAGTATTCCATAAACGTTGAAAGGCACTTTTCTGGCACATGTTCTGAAAAATAATCATAATATTTTTGGGAAAAAGAGCTGTACTATAAATGACATGAATAGGACACGATTCCAGATTATTAACTTTCACAGAGGATATTACTCTAAAAATTCTCATAGAAGACTATTTATTCTGAAATCTTTATTTGTTTCTAAAAGCCTAGGTAGTCATTTCTGAATGCAACCAATACATTCAGAAACTATCATGTTTTAAAATGTATATATAAACAATTTCTATGATATAGGGATCACTGCCTACATCTATCCTTTAGTGATAGTGTGTGTTTTTGTGTATTTATGTATGTGGAGAAAGAGGGAGAAAGAGAAAGAGAAGTTATGCAATTCTCTTTGGTAAACTGACATTTTTTTTACTGTGATTTTAAATCTAGGAGTTCTGTAAATTTCTATAATGGTACCTTTATTTTCTCAACTGGAAATAATGTCCAGCTGCTCTCACAAGCTGAGAATTGGCCCAGTTAAATTCTGTAGTCAGTAATAACACTTAGCACTGTGATTATTATACCTTATGATCCATACACAGTCATTAAATCTCAGTTTATATGATAATCTTGGTGTTAATGGGAAATACTTCAGTCAATTTAATTTTTCTCTGCCATATTGAGAAAGATACTAATACCAAGGTTTATTCTGATTATTCGCAGTGACTAAAATTATAACTAATTTTGATAGAATAGATAGCTCCCCAACTGTGGCTCATTTTACCAAGGGAAAGAGGGCCTTTGGTTGAATTTATTATCTCATGGAAAAAGTAAGACCTAATATCTAACTTGAGACATGCTTGTCACTTATTCGCCAATGTCATGATCCTTCTGTGGGGCATATCAAGGACCCATAATGCCAAACATAGTTTACATAGATGATGAGTGCATTTTCTTAAACAAAGGGACCCACTGTTTGTCATGTGGACTTTTGTTTGAAGAAACTATGAAATAATACAAATTAGTTTTTGAAAAACTCATCAAAAATATCTACATTATAAAACAACTTTGTTGCAATTCCACTTATACTACAATTGCTAAAACATTATCTTTAGTATTACCTTTAGTGTCTACCCAGTGTGGGAGCTGGCTGGCACTAGCTCAAGAGTCATTCGCATTCACCCCTTTCCAACTCTGTGTTTGCTAATCCTCCATATTGGCAGCTTAAAATTGGCATTTGTAGGGGTATATATACCTCAGAAATAAATTGTAAAATGCTGCAAATCAAGGTTCCTATGGAGATCCTATTGTTAATAGTCACCACCATAGCATACTGGGTCAACTTGCTTGTTTCTTTTTAGTTCAGTCTATTTTCTTAACCTATTTTGTTTTTGTTTTTGTTTTTTCCTATGTCTTTGTCCTTTCCTAGTTTTCCAAGTTTGTTTTGTTGTGTTTTGTTTTGTGTTTTCACCGGGTGTATTCTGTGCCAAGTCATTTACTTAGGGTTAGATACTAGTGACAGATTTCCTTACTTTTCATTTATCTGAGAATGTCTTGGTTTCCTCTTCATTCTTAAAGGTTATCTTTATCTAGTAAAGACAGAATTCGGGAATTATAATTATTTTATAACAGCACTTGAGAAAAGTTATGTCGTCTTTTTCTGGTTGACATAGTTTCTGGTGAAATATCTGCTGCCATTTGAATTTTATTTTCCCCTCTCAGAAAGGTACTATTTCTTCCTCACTGCTTTCAAGAATTTTGCGTGTGTCATTTGTTTTCAGTTTAATTGTGATAAATCTTGAGGTGGATTTCATTGGAATTATCCTGTGTGAGTTAAATAAGCTCTCAAATCAAGTTAATAAGCTCTCAAATATAGGTTTATGTCTGTTGGTGAATTTAGGAAATTTTTATCCTTATTCTTTTCTTCTCCTTCTGTGACACCCACGATACAGATATTAGATCTTTTGAGATAGTCTCCTGGGCCACTAAGGCCTGTTTATTCTTTTTTTAAAATCTATTTTCTTTGTTATTTGGGTTGGTTCATTTCTTTTTTTATTTTTTTTTAATTTTTAAAAATTTATTTCTGAGAAACAGAGAGAGAGAGAGAGAGAGAGAGAGGGAACAGAGTGTGAGTGGAGGAGGGGCAGAGAGGGAGACACAGAACTGGGAGCGGCTCCAGGCTCTGAGCTGTCAGCACAGAGCCCCTTGTGGGGCTCAAACTCACGAACTGAGATCATGACTGGAGCCAAAGTCAAATGCTCAACCGACTGAGCCACTCAGGTACCCCTCAGAGGTGATGAATGTCATAGATACTCATGTGTCCATGTTCACGGCTAATACGTTAATTCACGAACAGAACATTGCAGAGTATTGGGGATAGGTTTAAATTATGTCTTAACTCACACATGTGATCATAGTGTATTGATTTTTGTTTCTTTTTTTATATGTGTGAAGATGTAGATAACTATATATCTTTCATTCATAATAAGAAATTGAAATATTGGTAATTCTATGACATATTATCATCTCTATAATCACATCTTCTCCTCATTTTCTTAGTTCTTATCATTTCAGTGGCAGCCCAGTTGGCTGGATCAATGGATGAAGGGAATCACTTGATTGCATCTGAGTTTATATTTCTGGGACTCACTCATTCATGGGAGATCCAGCTTCTCCTCCTGGTGTTCTCCTCTGTGCTCTATATGGCAAGCATAACCGGAAACATCCTCATTGTGTTTTATGCGACCATTGATCCTCACTTACATTCACCTAAGTACTTCTTACTGGCTCGTCTCTTTTTCATTGACTTAGGAGCCTGCTCTGCCAAGATGCTTCACCCAAGATGATTTATGATCTTTTCAGAAAGCACAAAGCCATCTCCTTTGGAGGCTGCATTGTCCAAATCTTCATCCACGTCATTGGTGGTGTGGAGATGGTGCTTCTCGTCACTATGGCCTTTGACAGATATGTTGCCATTTGTAAGCCTCTCCACTACTTGACCATCATGAGCCCACGAATGTGCATTTTGTTTCTGGCTGCTGCCTGGGCTCTTGGTGTCAGTCACTCACTGTTCCAACTAGCATTTATTGTTATTTTACCCTTCTGTGGTCCAAATGTATTGGACAGCTTTTACTGTGACCTTCCTTGGCTCCTCAGACTGGCCTGTACAGATACCCACAGATTGCAGTTCATGGTCACTGTTAACAGTGGGTTTATCTGTGTTGGTTCCTTCTTCATACTCTTCATCTCCTACATCTTCATCCTTTTTACTCTTTGGAAACATTCCTTAGGTGGTTCATCCAAAGCCATTTCCACCCTGTCAGCTCACACCACTGTGGTCCTTTTGTTCTTCGGTCGAACCATGTTTGTCTCTACATAAAAATATGGAATGCTTCATGAGTTGGTGTGTCATCCTTGTGCAGGGGTCATGCTAATCTTGTCTGTATCATTCAAATTTTAGTATATGTACTGCCAAAACAAGCGCCGAGTTGGTTAATTTCTATTGTTCTTCTTAAAGTTTACAGATTTTTTTCCCTGCCTTCTTCATTTTGCTATTGAACCTGTCCGTTGAGATTTTTATTTGATTACAGTATTTTTTAGTTCTAAAATTGCTTCTTCTATCTTCAGTTTCTTTCCTGAGACTTTCTGTTTTATATTTATTTCAAAATGATTATAATTGCACATTGAAGCATTTGATATGATAGCTGGTTTAAAATCCTTTTCTGATAATTCTGACTTCTGAGTTATTTCAAAATTGGGATCTATTGATCATTCTTTCTCATTCAAATAGAGACTTTCCTGGTTTATAGTTTGATGAGTGATTCTCTCATTTTCTGGATATTTTGGGCATTATGGTTGAAAACTTGGGTCTTATTAAAATCTGTTTTAGCACTTCTCCTAGGATAGTGTTCCAGAGAGGGAAAAGAAGCACTGTTTTTTATTGACAGGTGGAGGTGAGAGTCCAGATGCTTCTTTCAATCTTCTCTGATACCACAGGGGGAGAGAGGACTAGATATCCACTGACATCATCTTGACTGAGAGGAAGAGGAATGCATCATTGCTGTTCTCCATGTGGCCTCCACTGTGATGATAGGGAGCAGGTAAAGTCCTGAATCTCCTCAGAGCCTCCTCTGACACCCCAATGGGGAGAAGGAATGTTTTGTTGCTATTCAATGGTGGTAAAGACTAGGTTCTCCACATATTCTCCACTGGCACCAGAAGAGAGGAGCATATTACTTCCAAGTAGGGGTAAACATCCTGAATTCCCATTGCATTTAGCCTTCTCTGACACCACTCTACCAGAGAGTAGGTGGTTAGGAGTTTCTTATAATAGCCTGGTGAGGATGGAAGTCTAGTCTCCTCACTCAGTCTTTGCTGATGGGGGTAGGAGTAGCACTACAGTATTTTTCTTTGGTATTTGTCTGAAGTAGGATGGTCGCTGCCTGAAAGTTTTATAACTTGCTTGGCCATCACTTTCCTGGTCATTGAGCTAGAAAAAGTAGGTTTTTCATGGGTATTTTGGCTTATGACCATTGACATTTCCATGTTACTGACTTCATCATCAAGTCTGGGATACATAAGGCAAAAAAGGAAACTCAGGAAAGTCACTGCTGTGTCATTCCTTGGTTATCACAGTTTCTAACAGCCTGCCTCCTTCTCTCCACATTTTAGAATCTTCTTCTATTTATTCTATATATATATATATATATATAGTTTCTAGGATTTTTAGCTCTACTAACTAGAGAAATAAGGAAAAGTATGTCTAGTTCATGTTGTCTAGAACCACTTTCATCTGACTTGCCAAACCCAGCGAATCTGCAGGCAAGTGTGTGTGCTTGTGTATATGCATGTGTAAGTGAAAATGTTATTCAGATTTAAGTCTGATGTATTGACACAGAGAAGTGGGAAAGTGTCTGTGATGCAATATCAAATATGGAATTTTCAAAATGGCTTGAGGTATGATAGCATTACTTGAAAAAATGCATTATATGCTAATTCATTTTTTAAGAATCACAATATTCAGACGCACTTGGGTGGCTCAGTAGGTTAAGCATCCGACTCTTGATTTCAGCTCAAGTCATGCTCTCACAGTTCATGAGTTCAAGCCCCACATTGGGACAGTGCAGAGCCTGCTTGGGATTCTCTCTCTCTCTGTCTCTGTCTCTCTCTCTCTCTCTCTCCCCCTCTGCCTGTCTCCCACTTGCTTTTTTTTTTTTTTTTTTCTCTCTCTCTCTTTCAAAATAAATAAACTTAAAAAGAAGAATCACAACATCCATTTAGGTCTTTAGATTGTGTATTACAAAATATTATTAACTCATTGCTCTAAAATCTCTAAACAATCTCATTATTTTAGAATTTTGCACTTACAAATTCACAATTTTGTGAAGGCCTTATCAACATTAATATGGCCTCTAGTTATGGTTCTTTTGCTATGGGAACACCTGTCCTAAAATTTTATAATGTAACAGAGAGTGATATCCTCACAACTATATTAGTCACTAGGTACAAGGAGGGACCAGAGTAGAGGAACTGAATCAGCTCTTGAATTAGCTCTTGATTCATATTGACTAAGTATTTGTTTGGACATTTATCTCCTATCAGAATGAGTCTGGGGAAGTTCCTTAAAATTTCCATCATTCAATTGCCTCATCTGAAAAATGAAGATAAAAGTATCCCCAAAGGATTTATAATTATATATAAATAAGGTAATATATATAAATTCCTTAGACAAGTTACTGGCACACAGGAAACACTCAGTAAATATCAGCTACTAATAAACATTAACTATTAATGTTATTATACTTAAATACAAGCCAGGTTGTTTTCATATAACCTACATTGACTAGTTTCATTCAAAATGGTACCCTTGTCAAATGAAGACATCATCAGAGAGTGTATTACTGAACACTTTGTGTTTGTTTGTTTGTTTGTTTGTTTTTGGTATTTTACTTTCTTTATTCTATAGTGTAGTCTCAGTCACAGAATAGAAATATAAATGTAAATGGATTGCTTTATTTTTCTCATTTTATAGTAAAATGGTTACACTTATTGGGTGCTTATTAAACGCTAGAGGTTCTTCTAAGTGTTTTTTATGGTACTGTTATCTCAATTGTGCAGATTAGGAAACTGAGGCAAAAAAAAAAGTAGTGACAAAAAGTTACATAGCTGTTATGAAGTAGAATTAGTTTGCCACAGAGATCATACTTTTTAATGTTTATTTATACTTAGAGGCAGACAGAGAGACAGAGACAGGGACAAAGTGTGAGCAGGGTAGGGACAGAGAGAGAGGGAGATACAAATTTGAAGCAGGCTCCAGGCTCTGAACTGTCATCACAGAGCCCAATGCTGGGCTCAAACTCATGGACTCAGAGGTCATGATCTGAGCTGAACTCAGATGCCCAGCCAGCTGAGCCACCCAGGCGCCCCAAGATCATATTTTTGAGAAACACAATAAATATTTTGTATGCAATTTTAGTATAATCTGAAATCCTTTAAAAGTATAAATAAGGAAAAAATTAATAATTATATATGAATTTAAATCATCACTACATCATACTGCACAGTAAAACCATTCACATTGGAGTAAAATACAAAAAGTCTAAGAAATCAACACAAATGAAGGTCATTACATATATTTAATCCATCAATGAAACAGAAATATAGCAAAAATTGTCAAAATTGAAAACCATTCTCAATATAATAAAAAAGGTAATTGTTAAAATTTTTAAATAAAACTATGAGTTTCAAGAAAACAAGTCATTTTTATATTTATCTATACAAATTTACCTATATATGTGTGTGTGTCCATATATACTATGTTCTTTAAAAATACTACAACAAAATTACTATTATTATTTATAATAATTTTGTTGTATTTTTAAAGATATCACCAGAATAATATATATATATAATTTATTATGTATTATATATATTTTAACAACCTCAAAAAATAGTGTTCTCTTATTTATTTCTAACTTGTGAATCTAGAGTGACCACAACAGTACCATTGTATTTCATTAAGATATGTATACCTTAAAAAAACAAATATATACAATTTTCAAATTATTTTTAATGTCTATTTATTTTTGAGAGAGGGAGAGACCAGAGCACAAGTCGGGAAAGGACAGAGAGAGAAGGAGACACAGAATATGAAACAATCTCCAGGCTCTGAGCTGTAAGCACAGAGCCCTATGTGGGGTTCGAACTCATGAACCATGAGATCATGACCTGAGCCAAAGTTGGATGCTTAACCAACTGAGCCACCCAGGCATCCCTGCAATTTTTTCTTATGTTTAGTATTTAAACTTCCCTAAACTTAATTTTTTCACCAATTTGCAGTGAAATGTGGAAATCTACACAGCAGTTTTTTTCAGGGCTCTTAAAATTTTTCACTTGTATAACTAGGTATTTAGAATTGAATAATTCAATAACCATGGCAATGGTAAAATATTAAGTTGACAGGTTACCATAATTATTTTGTTATCAGAAAAATTATCACTTATTTCTTTATATCAGTTTGTTGTATATCTCAGTTTCAGCATGAGCTGATGAACTGTTCTGTCATAGTCTGAAAATGATTTATAACATTTTTTGATTTAAATGACTTTCATCATAGTATTTCATGAAGTTTTATCAACCTATAATATCAGCAGTGCAAAATATTTATTTTGAAGTGTGCTAATTTAATTAAAATGCCTAGTTAAATTACCTTGTTTAAAAGTAAAAATGTTTTTATTCAGTTATTCTGAGATTATTTGAATTACATTTTTTGAGAAGGAAGAGATTCTTTAGAGCCTATATATTTCTTTCTGTTCTTACTTTATGTTGTGTATATAGTATCTATTTAATATTTTTGTTTCAAGAAATAACACTAAGCTGGGAAAACCATCAAAATATGGAAAAAAATCAGGTACAGAGCTATGAAAATCCAGTTCATAATGGCACCATCATAACAATGCTGACATTAATATGGTAGTGATGGAGACAAAAAGAGCCAAGGGTATATTTAAAAGGTTGAAGGTTGAAACAAAAGATTTTTTTAAAATGATCCATATTTTTGGGTCGCCTGGGTGACTCAGTCAGTTAAGCATCTGACTCTCGGACTTGGCACAGGTCATGATCTTGTGGTTTCACGAGTTCTAGCCTGCATCAGGCTCTGCACTGGCAGCACAGAGGCTCCTTGGGATTCTGTGTCTCCCTCTCTCTGCCCCTCCCCAATCACACTGTCTCTGTCTCTCTCAAAATAAGTAAACTTTAAAAAAATAAAAATAAAATTATGAATATTTTTAAGTGGCCTAGTCCAACATCTTGGTTTTACAAATAGGAAACCTGGCACTGGGTATGGTTTATCATGGCCTTGGCTTAACAGTAAGCTTTATC